AGAGATTATTTCGGGTTTGGTAAGCAATCACAAAACATTAATACTTATTGACTATTATATTCACACTAATAAGGTAAAAGATACTTGGTTAGTTATTTCCCAGATGAAGAAGAAAGACTACCAGCTAGATTCTTTTGTGTATAATAAGATTATTAAAGTTTATAAAGACAATAGGATGTGGAAGAAAGCAAGTGTGCGGAGTAACTCCGCACTTTGCTCATACAAATGCAGAGCAATTTTTTATTTTTTTAGCATCCACAATAAAATTAGCAAAATTAAATATTCGGTATTCCAACAAAAATGAATTCACCAAATTAACATCAAACATCACACTATTCCAAAAAAAATGAATTAACGTCAATTTACCCAACTAACATCATGCAAGACAATATTTTCAAGGAAAATAATTAGCTATGCCGAAGTAGTGCTTTTGTTGGGATTTTGACTTTCTTTTGCAAATCCATTTCATATTATTTCTCAGATGAATTTAAAGTTTTTGTTAATTATTTTAAATTTCCAGTATGATATTTCTTAACAATCAAAATAACACAATACTGTTGCTATACTATTGCAATTGTAAAAATAATTTGCAATATTTCTACATATCACTTCAAAAACTTTCCAATAAACTAAAATTCATACACTAATAAAAATACGATAAATAAAAAATTCGTGCAACGCACGTGACAATGACTAGTAATTTAAATTTGGGGGAGTGCATTATTATTAATTTCCTATCTAAAATTTTTTTGTGAGTTGGACAGTTTGGCTTATAATTACATTTTACTTTGAGATTTAGTGTTGATTTATGAACTGTGGATAGGATGCATGCTAGATTGATTGAAACTTAACCTTGCAAAATTCGATATTATACATGCACTAGGATTGAGTTTGATATAGTGATGAAATGATTTGATTCATTTGTTAGATAGGTTGATTTAATTGGACATAGATGATTTACCTAAACCATATATAGTAAATTATTTATCCTTAGACCAAAGTTAGCACAATTTAGGGGTGATTTATAGTTGTAGAAAGATGCGAGGTGAATGTGGATTCAATGTGTGAAAACTTATGCGTGGATTGTCTTAGATTAACATGATAAACTTGGCGAAAGTCTTAAGTTGGAGGTCGGTTTATTGGAATAGGTATGTTATAGGAGCATTGTACTAATCAAGGCATATACATTTGAAATTTAAAAGCTTCTCTTTGAAGTCTTCATGATTCGAGTAATTAAGTTTGCAAGGGTATCTTAAAACCTCATGCCTTAAAGACATCTAACTTGGGAGTCATCGACCTAAAACTCACTACATGAGTCATTTAGAAGGCAATCAAAGATGAAGTTACACTTGAAACAAAAATTGGCTCTCTTCGAAGCCTTTTTAATTCGGGTCAGTAAGCCTATAAGGGTGTTTAAAACCTGGTGCCCTAAAATCATTTGATTTTGGAGTCATCGGCTCATAGCCTACTATATGGGTTATCTAGAAAGCCTAATGGATAGAATGCCAAAAAAAAACTTGTGTAAAACAGAAAAACTAAGTGCATGAAAAGAGCAAAATAACTAAATACCTTGGTTAAGTCCTAATACTTATTTAAGGAAAATTGACTTTAGATGCAAGATAATTAGCAGAGTCATGGTGATCGAAGTAATCAAATAATCGGAGAATCCTTGTTTATTGAAGTGTTGACTTGCAACTAGTAACGTCCACCTGAACTTGAGAGAGTGAGGATAATAATGAAATATTCAACCTTAGGTTACACACTGGGAACGAGTGAAAATGAATAAGATTTGGGGACTATAATGCAAATACACAAAAGTTGTTTCAGACCTCATGATAAAGATTTAAGAGTGCTCGAAGTCGATTGGATAAAAAAGACATCAAATTGATGAAATATATTCAAAGTATGATCACACATCAAGTTCCAACCGAAAAAATGTATGTACATTTTTAGACTCATATTGAGACCCATTTTTGACATAGCAAATGATTGAATTTGAAAATGTATGTGAAGAAAAGTTGTAACCATTTGAGCTAGCTTTCCAACACATCTTGAATTGCCTCAATCGGACATTGAAAGAAAAAGTTATGATACAAACATTGAATGATGTGTAGTGCAATAGAAACTGACGACAGTGCCCATACGCTATCCCGTAGTGCCCAAGCACTATGCTTCTAATTTTTTTTTCCAGAAAGTCAGTAGTCAGGCGCTCGATTGCAGCTTCTAGGTGCCTCACTGCAGTCAAATAGGATTTTCAAGTAAAATTCATATTTTTAAAAGTCCAACTCCACTAAAACTCCTTCAAGACTTGAAGAAGACATAAATACAATCCTAGAGAAAACAATCGACGGATTCATTTATTGAGATGCAAGAGTCACACTTGGAGATTAAAGAGACTACTTCAAGAGAAAAACAACAAGCAATTCAAAGGTTAAAGCATAAATTGGAAAGGAAGAAAATCTTGGTGCAAGATTGATTTCTTATTCAAAATTCGGTGATATCTTCCATAATAACTTCTTGTTTTCTTTCATTACTATGAGTAGTTAAATATAATTTTAGGGTGAACGATGTAACCCATTTGGGACCCTTTATTTCTTTTATTGGAGATTTTTGTTTGTTATGATTATATATGTGGATTTTAATCATGTTCTCAATGCCTTGACTTTTCTATTATTCAATGATTTGTGAACAATAATTACTTAGAGATGCGAATTCTTTGTTTAAACCACAAATTAAACTTCGGCAAATTAATATAACGTGTAGAGATACTTATATTAATCATTGCGATTATAAATGAATTCTTAGAACTATTATTTTGTTTAACTAAATTTGATTCACATAGAGATATGAAATTCAAGTAGTTAAATAGGCTCAATGAAAATTCGAGAGGGGCAAATTGAATACAATAGGTGAATTCGACCGACCACTAACTTAGGTTTTATGAATCTTGATTTAAGACTTAAATGATTTCAATAGGTGAAATTGTTTTACCCTAATATCCATTTATTATTTGAATTTTCAATCATTCTTTGTGTGCATCCACATATTTTTAGGTAGTTAGATTTAAAATCATAACCAATCATTATTCTATTTTTTGCATCAAATAGAAGTTAGAAATAATAAATTGAGTATTAAAATATAATTTTCGTGGGAACGATAATCCGAACTCAAGAGATTCACTTTACTACTTATTGTGATTTGTACATTTGTGGGATATAAAATCAACAACAATTAATATCATCTAATCAAATAATTTTCTTCTATTGCGTATCATTAAATCTAGTTTTTTAACTTGTATGTTAAGGTAGGACTCAAAAGTGCTCAATGATATTAAGAATAAATTATAGCATAATTTTCCTTATGTTTCTGCAGTAAATGTGCTTTAAAGAATTAATTAATTATTTATTATTCTTATGTACAGTGAATAAATTCACAGAAATTTTACAGAATCATCACATGGGGATGGCCCCACATGAATATTTTATTGCATAAAATAAATCACACACCTCACTATTTTGTGTAATTTGTAACACTTCTATAAAAATTTTCCTTATACATGTAGATTGATTAATTAATTATGGAGCGTATACCATATAAATGAATATACAAGAAAAGTAAAAAGAGTTCAAGAGTTTGATTTGTGAAACCTCATGGAGTTGGTCGAGCAAAATGACAAAAAATAAATATATGCATTCATTAATATTTATTAAGAATAAAGTTTCATTAATTTTGTAATTCAAAAATTGAAAAATCCATCAAGAGCTTCTAATGAAGTCAAACACAATTTCTAGGGGAAAGAATAATAATTGTTCACATGAATGATGAATGTCATCACAATAACGCGTAAACAGTAATGATGATAAACACATATTTCTAATTATCGTTGACAATGATTAGTTGAACTAATCATGACACCAGTAATTGTTATTCCACGAAAGTTTCGCAATGAAAGAAAGTCAATTCAAAATACATGAAGCTCGTGAATTTGTCGCCGGAAGAGATCGAGCATAAGAGTAAAATATAAGAATTACTATAGAAGACAGAGCATATATACAGTGAGAAGAGATTAGAGGCATGGCTGAACTTTGTGTCGAGAGAAAGTTACCCTAACAATATGGCTATTAAACGACAACTCGATAAGGCACTGGCTCGACAGTGACTAAACTGTCCAAGGTCTCTAACATCACTATATTGTGTTTTCTTGACACTATTCTATTAAGTATCATCAACTAATCAAAATTTGAAATCTCCAAAGGAGAAGTCATACCATTCACCTGCCTAGCTTGGTAAGACATTTTACTCATCATTTTTCTTTCTCGAACACAGCACCACATCATCTTTACCCCTCTCGAAATGGTAATTTGTTCATCCATCTTTCTTAAATTAAAAGAATCGCATGTTCTATATCGATACCCACCTCTTTCACTATGTCATGGGCACTATTATCTTGAGAGCCAATTAACAAGAAAATTTTTAGGATATCGTGATCGCATTTGAGACTCTTCGCCTTATTTCGAATCTTTCAACCACAATTTTTAGGCTATCACGATACCACTCAAGGCTCACTACGTGATTTTGAATCTACTCTACACGTGTAGATATTCAACTTGTTCATTTCAATGACCAAGTCTAAAATTTGACCCGTACTAATTTAGATGTCACGTTTCATTCCAAAAGATTAACTTCCAATTTTCATATGAACCCAAGATCAATTGCTTAGTCAGTGTCTTTCGGTTGTCATTTCTCAACACAATTTTGAAATAAAATTTAACAATAACAATCAATCCATGTTCTAAAAAGCGCAAGGAGTGGACGCAAAAATCAAGCTAGATGAGCCTACGCATAAAAAAGCGTAATTCCTTTTTTTTTAATATTATTTATTTTTAAACATTATTCAATCTAAACATTATTTAACAATTAAAATAATACCTACCAAACATCTTAAAATTATAAACTCCTATATTGAACAAAAAAAGTGCGCTTAATGAAAATATGACATGATGAAAAATCAGAAAGTGGCAACTGATCTGTTTCAATAAAATTAATAGCAGTACAAAACGTTTAATTATATAATCAAAACCACTTGTAACTCTGTTAAACTATTCAATACTCTCTCAAACATAATCCCACAAAATTCATCAGCAGACATCAAGCCATTCTACAATAAAAAAATCATTAGTGAAGAAAAATATATTGTAAAAAAATCCAACTCTATGTACATATGCAAAGAACAAAAAAGAAATTACTAGTCCGCGAGAGCTCGAGTAGAAAGGATTAATTTATTTCTCCTTGCTCAAGAAGCAGCCTGTTGAGCGTGCAAAAATGAATATAATTTAGGTTTAGCAAGAGAGAGTCCATTATTAGTAGAGTTCATAGCCGCGGTGGTGGTGGCAGCTGTTGTGATGGAGGGTGTGGCGGTCGAGGTGGTCACGCGCTCGCAAGAAGGGCACATTGCCAGAGTTGTGGCAGGTTGCTGCATGTAAAAAGGTTGTGAAGCCTTTAAAGCTCTTAATTCTTGAATCTCCTTTTGCAACCTCCTATTTTCATCTGTCAGTTTCTCACAGCATCTCTTTAAATACTCACAATCTACCTCTGTCTGCTTCAACTTAGTTCTGCAAATCATAAATGCATCAAATAATTGTTTCATTAAACTGTCACAAGAACCAGCAATAATTTTCTTAATAAATAATTAAAAAAAATAAATTAAAATTTGATATGTACACAAACCTAGCTCTTCTGTTTTGGAACCATACTTCAACTTGGCGAGGACGGAGATTCAACTGCTTTGCAAGAGCAAGCTTTTGTTTCTGCATATCAATGGGCTACAATATAAGCAGAAGGTCATTTTTAACCGTCTAAACTTTCAAATGAGGTGATTGATCAATGGGTTCAGGTCCCATGATTATATTTCAGTCACCCTTTTACAGTAAAATTTGTACAAAAACATCTTAAACTTTTAAACCAGTGATTTAACGCCATTGGATGAAATATGAGTGACAAAATTATGAAATATGGTCGTGTTGATAACAAAAATTTATTAGTTATAGGGTCGAGCAAAATTACACTCATAGATAGAGGTTTAACTGTAGATGTATGACTTACAGGATTGAGGGTGTTGTGTTCTTTGAAGCTTTCTTCAAGAAAAGCAGACTGTTCTTTCGAGAGCCTAAGTTTTTTTCTGGCCATACCATTTTCTTCTTCATCACTTGCTTTTGAAGAAGCCCCTCTGTCTGCTTCAACTTCGTTTGCATCTCTTTTGCCCCTTGTATAAATCGAAAAATCCATCTGAAATGATGAAACTGTGCTGTTTGGAGATGACAGTGCTGCACCATCTTCGACTTCCACAGCCGTTAAGTTCCTTTGGTTTTCGTCCAACCCTTTCCCCGATTCAGTGACCACTGTTGCAGAATTAAGCCATACAAAAGATTAAACCCCACTAACAAATTTAAGAACGTTCGCAAACTCGATCTTTTAGACAAGACAATTTAACAATTTATGAGAATAGGTAAAGGTCACGAGTACCCTTATTATTCCTTACATGTGAAAATAAATCTAGTCTGCTCTCAAGCAAAAGACAGTAACTAAATACAAATATTCTTTTAATAATATTTAAGCTTTTAAAAACAAGTTTAAAAGCTGAAATGAAAAAGAAAATATTACATACGTCTGCAGCTGCGAAATAATCGGCAACCGATATTCGAGAACATAACCACGCAAAGAAAAATCTTAAGATCATTCTGGGGGTGATACAGGTTATAAAAAAAAAAAAAAAAAAAAAAAGGGGAACACAAACGAAAAATCTAAAATTAAGAACTAGAACTAGACACAGAGAAAAAGCATGAACAGAAAAAAATGGCATTACAGTTTTGAGCGAGCCAAGGGAAACGAAGATTTGGTGAATTTTGACTGCGTGGAACAGGAGAGAAAGGCAGAAGATCTAGCTGAAGTGGTAGATCTGATGAAGATCCTTTTCTTTCACCATCATTTCTTGTTTCTTTCTTCTTGATTTCATATTCTCCCTTCATTCCTAAAGCCATGCAGAACCCTAAATCATCTTCGTCAATAATTTTCTGTGACTTGCGAGGCAAAGTGAATCCCTTTGACGTTTCACCCAAACTCAAACCCAACTCCATGAGGAAAAAAACCTAAAAAGAAAAAGAGAGTTGAATTGAATTGCCTTAATTGTTGATTGAACGGGTTGAAAGAAATAAAAGAAGAAGGGTTTGTATAGTATGAGTATCCAGTCTTGGGTCCTGAGCAGAGAGGCTAATCTCATCTACTAACCTAGCTTTGTCAAAGTAAAAGATTGTCCAAAAAATCCAAGATTTTGAAAAACGCACGTGAATCCATATAAAAGTATATACATATATGTTGTATGTGCGTTTCGACGGAGTTGGGGTGGCACGCCCACCTGTCTCTCTGTGGGTGCGTGAGAGAGAGGTGTGTGAGAGAGAGAGAATTGATTTTTTTGTATAAGTAATTATGTCAAGTACATCATAATTTGAGGGCTACGTTTCAGTCGGTATACTATTATTGTTAAATATTCAATACTCTGGAAAGATAGGCCAAGTTAGTATTATCTATATTTTAGGTTTGGCAAATCTATGCTTCCATTAATTGACAAACAATACCATGCATTATTAAATCTTTAAACGAAAAAAATTATCTCACAGGCTCATATTAGCCTAGATTGAGATGGATGGTCATTCGGAAATGTTCATATTCGAACTTGAGTGCTTGTTTGAGATTTTAAATGGACGGTGATTCATTTGATAAAAATCATCTTGGAGCTTGTTTGATCGTTAGAGATTTTAGACAAAACAAATTGCTTGTCTAAACATTTTGCACTCTATTATCAAATGTGGATCTTCTTAAAAGTACAAAAATGAGATCACTAACAAAACAAAAAAAAATTACAATATAAATCTCTATGAATCCAAATTATTAATGGATGGATATTATAATTTTGGGCCAAATAATTTATAATTATAACCAGCGCCCTTTTTTCTTCTTTCTATAAGTCATCACTTATTACTCTATGTCATTTAATTTAATTGTTGTGACAATGAATAATGGGCACTCCACCGCTAAAGGTTGGAATATATGGAGAAGCCTTTATTAAGATTTGATTGCATAATTGGAAAATATGATGCCAAGACTAGACCTATATAGGGCCAACACATTATGAACTATGATTATAAAATTAATTATTAGATGAGAAAATCATTATTTCTTGTAAGCAATAGATTCTATAAACAAAAAGTATTGAATGAAAAAAGTGCTAAATAATAATTTTACTAAATTATGTGAATACAATAATAATAGGATAGTACCTATCCAATAAAAATATAAATTCGACGAGTTTGAGTTAATTTTAGGAAAAATTGCAGCAATGGTCTTTAACCTTTCTCTTTTTAGCAGATTTTACCATAACCTTCATTTTATGCAATCCACGGTCCCAAAATTATATCAAAATTGATCAAGCTTTGACAATTTGGCATGCTTTAAATTGATCAAGTTTTTAAATCAAATATTTTTAAAAGCATCGGGTCAAAATTGATCAAGCTTTGACATTATCGGTCAACTAACGGTAAGATGGATGGTTTCCATCCATTTGGACACCGGGTGCATATTTTTGAAAGGTGTGGAACCGTGGATGATACAAAATGAAGGTTAGAATAAAGTCTGCAGGTTAGGGACCACTGCTGCAATTTTCTCTTAATTTTATATTAAATCTTTTGACCATTCGTTTATAATTTGTTTTGTATTATTTTTGTGAACATTTTTCTTCGTAACTAGTAATTAACCAATCGTTAACTTACGACCTATACAAGTAGTCATGTGGTTCTCGATCAATCTACTTGTCTAGTTTAAGCCTAAAGTTAAATCAAGTAGAAAGCTAGATATTTAGAACAAAATTTATCTCAAGAAATTTTTTAGCTCCTATAAATAAATAAATTAGCCCTTTTCTAGGGTCAAAGAAGACGAATAATATTTATATATGAATTATGAAACAATGACTCTCGGCTGCTTATGCACATCAAATTATGCTGACTGGCCAAAGTTTGGTCTAAACAAAAGGCACACACTTTTGGAACAAAAGATTACATGATTAAATTAGAAAGAAAAAAAAAAAAAAAAAGACACACTAAAAAAATTTGGTCGGATCAACAATAAATTTGATCATAATTTGTTCCAACCACATGTTCTTAATTAAGCTGACAAGCTGACCAAAGTTTAGTATTTCAAGAAAAGTTTTCGAGGATAATGAGTGTGATTGTTCATTGTTAATTTCTAGATGTATTAAACTAATTAATCATAACATTATTACTAATATTATTATTCTGCATGGTATCCAATGATTCTTTAGGTAAAACATGCTTTTTTTTTCTTTTTTTTTTTTAAACAAAAAAATTGTTATTGATATTAATGAGGTTTTTGTGATTATCAAACAATGAATTGCATTTTATCTTTCAACGGTTGCAATAATAAAGTGAACATAATGAATAAAAAGAATTTGATTAACCAATTTGCATGCTAGATACCCTTTAAAAACCAAAATTTAAATGAGTAAGTCTTGTTATTATTTATAAGCTTACACAACGGCATAAATGTGATAAATTTTTTTTTTCTTCCCAAAATTTGACTTGACAAATGATAATAGCTTGTCCAAAAAAATACGAAATTTTTTTTCCCATAACAGTACTTTTACAAAAAAGAATTTTCCATAATTCAGAAACAAAATTTCAAGACAAATCAACCGGCATTGAAACATCATGAAAACGCAATCGAGCATCCCATAAAACAATCTGTCTACTCATGGACCTTATACGTTATTTGCATATTATTTGTATTTAAACGGAAAAAATAAAATACAATTGTATCAATAACTGGGTGGTCCCACAGGCGTGGGGGGTGGCTATTAAATAAAGTTGTGATTAAAATACTCATCTAGAGGAGGTGAAGGTGGTCAGACATGTCATGCTTTTGGGATTATTGCAATTATTGAACTCATGCAAGGCTTTAATGATAAGTATGATAAGCCAGAGAAAAAAGATAACCATACACATAGGTTGGCGTGGGGGTTTTATTGGAAAATGACCAAAAAAAAGGACAGACAGAGATGCTGCCACAGCATCTGTATTAATTATGGCTACACTGTTTTTGTACATTTATTATTATTTATTATTATTATTATTATTATTATTATTGTTTTTTGTCTTTTTTTGTATTTAAGCTAAAAGGAGAATTTATTTTTCCATGCCACTTTTAACATGTTTAAGACTCGTTTGCTTTGTGTTTTAAGTACATTTTCTGTTTTCTATTTTTGAGAGTTAGTTTTAAGATTATTAAAAAGACATTTAATTTGTCATTCTAAAAAACTATTTCCGAAAATAGAAAATTAGATTATTTTACATTAATTTTATTACATGAAATTTGATTATTCAATGAAATATAACAATTTGTTAACATATCATCAAGAAATAAATACTTTTAAAGTTGGTGAATCTCACAATATTATTTTCCTATTACAAAGTAAATTAAAAGAAATAATAAATTGATTTAACAAAACATAGAAAATGAAAAACTAAAATTTAAGTCGTGGACTGCAATTTTTTTTTTATCTATATTGATTTAAATATATTTTCCTAAATTTTTTTATGTAAATAAAAATTAAGAGTTTGAATTAATTTTTTTAAAAAGTTTTTTACAATGTTTATTTTTCTAGAATTTTATTTCTTAAAATTTTAGATTTTATCCTTTCAAAAATTTTATTTTTATAGAAATTTAAAAAATTGTTTTTAACCTTATTTTTGAAAAGCATTTTAAAAAATACTCGACCAAATAATAGTTGAATGTTTTGAAAAATTGATAACTAAAAACAGTTTGAAAATAACAAATTAAAAGCACACTTAGATTTTCAGAGAAAAATATTTTACTCGAATCGTAAAGGCAAATAGATAATTAGATTTTCAGAAAAAAATATTTTACTCGAATCGTAAAGGCCAATAGATAAAAGATCGAAGATAATAATACCAAAAGGCCAAAGTAAAAGAAGGTAAAAAAATTTGAAGACAATGGCTACAATTTGAACTTCATATTTAATGTGTCGGTGAGGGAAAAAAGGGAAAAGAAATGAACATGAAGTAAAGGAGCTATGAAGGGATTAAAGAAATGGTAGCAGTAGCCTTTTATTCAAATTGTTTCCAGTTAACGAAATCTGCCTAAATTATGGTACTGAGTAGTTGATTATTAATCTTTCTTCTTGTTACAAACCTAGTAGCTAATTAGCTATTACAGACGTCACCGTTTTGATCCATAAATTATTTCAAGCTACAATCCCAATCAATTTTTTTCTTCAAATTTTAATATTTTCATGGATTCTTGGCCAAAGATTGGGGATGGTCTCTCTCTCTTTTCGTTTGATATTTTGCATGGTAAAAATGTCTACCATTGCAAAAATATATAATTTGGAAGAATTTAGATCAAAATACCCTTATTAACAATTTGTAATTTCACACTAAGACAAAAAAATGGACATTTTTGCAATATTGTTATTGGCCAATAAAATTTTAACACATAACCTGCCATGTTTATTTCAAAAAGTATACATGTCAAATCACAATAAATGCTATGTTTTTCATTGATTCAGAAATGTCGAGAACGAAATTTTTAAATGTAGAGAAATGTCATGTTCAAAATGAAATGTTATTCTAGACAAATGAAAAAGTGTTCAAATGTCGAGAAAGACATATGAAATATTAAGAAACATTATTTTAATGTAACTTCTTATGGAAGTCACTTCTCAAAATTCGTGACAAATTGATAAAAAAATAAAATGTCGAGAATACCATTTCAAAATGTAGATTTTCATTAAGGGTATAGACAAGTTGACACCACATTCAAATGAATTGACACTTTTCAACTCATACTCTTAAAATTAGACATTCTTAAAAATGCCTCTTTATACATTTATTAGCTGAAAAGTAAGTGAAAATTTCATTATCTCGCCAAGAAAGTTACAAAAAGTGAATTCAATTTTTTTGGGCATGGACATGCTAAAAATAGTTAACTTAGAAGAGTCTTATTAATGGGGTTTAAGCTACAAAATTTTACCTATGATAAATTTTCCAACACGGTAAACATATTTGCCTTACTTTTTAATTGAGGCTAGTGTACATTTTTGTTTTAGTGAGTTTTAAACTACAAAATATTACCTAAAATAAATTATAACACACATAATTAATAAAGAGATGCACAAGAGATATCATTTCAAATTTTATCTAATTAAACACGTGAAATATATTTTATTTTTATTAATAATCTTCTTATTTGACGC